GGGTTCAACAGCTATAGCTCAAGTAATTATTCTTCCTACACACTTCAGAGATAAGTAATACATGTTCTCTGTTATCAAAGAGTTTATTCTACCCTAAGGAATTCACTGCATACACACAGCAAAAGCCATAAGGGAGTTGAACATAGGTGAGTTTATACCTGATCTGAGACCAGGAAAGATAATATGGAAAAAAAATATAGAGCTTGAGAAAACCATCACATTTCAAGTCATGCATGAGTTGAGTAAAGAAAGCATCCCAAGCAGAATTTATTACCAAAGTCAGGGCATAAAGAAAGCGAAACCCAGAGTAAGTTCATGGAAGGGGACAGCAGGAGCTGAGACCACCAAGGGAAACTGCATCATTGTAAAGGGCTTTGGATTTCAGAGTAACTTTGTATTTCATTGCGGAACAATAGAGAACCACCCCAGTCACTGAAGTTTCGCGATTAGAAAAGAGATACTGTAAGTGGGTTTAAGAAAATTAACAACTTCTTAAAAGGGTTTCTATGAGGAATAAATGATTTAATACATATAAAGAGGTTAGAATACTACTCAGCATGTCAGTGTTTTACATTGTTTATTATTGGAGATATTTTTCCAAAAGTTTGCTTTTGTTATTTTTTTCTCCAAACTTGAATTTCATTTGTATGTAGCAAAAGTATGTATCTGTCTCTATACAGTCTTTACACTTTATCTTTTTATAGTTACTTATCTTTTAGGGTTTCTGGATTTCTGACTTGGTTACAAAGGATTCTCCTTCCCAAGATTGTATAAGTAAAGTCTCAGGTTTTTTTTTTCTGTTTCTAAAATATTTTGTTATTGTTTTATATTTTACATTTAAATCTTTAAATGTGATAGGGAGCTGGGGCACCTGGGTGGCTCAGTCGGTTAAGCGTCTGCCTTTGGCTCAGGTCATGATCTCAGGGTCCTGGGATCAAGCCCCGCATCTGAGCAGAAAGCCTGTTTCTTCCTCTCTCTCTGCCCCTCCCCCTGCTTGTGCTCTCTCTCTCTCTCTGAAATAAATAAAATCTTTCAAAATAAACAAAATAAACAAAATAAATATGATAGGGAACTATACTTTTTTCCAAAGGAAGACTGAATTGTGTCAGTACCATATTACATAGCTCGTTTTATTCTCTCTGAGTCAATGTAACACTATTTTCATAGTTTACCTTCACATAGAGGAGGATAGGTAGAATTGTCTATTCTGTTGATCTAGTATCTATTCTTAGGCTAATGTGATACTGATTTCCTTACAGTAGATTCGTAATGCTTTCAAATATCTCATAATGAAAGTCCTTTTTACTGTTCTTTTTATAATTCCCTTCACTGTGGTTGAGCATTTATCCTTTTATATAGATTTTAAAATAGTTTTATCCAATTCCAAAAAGAATCATTATGCGAGGATTCTAATTGAAATTGCATTAAACTTATAAATTAATTTTGGGGAAAATAACATACACTTAAGATGTTCTGAGTAGATATATATCTGTCTAGTTCTCTCAGAACTTACTTATGTCCTTCAAAATCATTATATATAGTTTTATGAATTGGGTTAACTATTGTGAAGAGGTTTTTTTTTTTTGGTTTTTTTTTTGGATTTCTATTTTCGGATACTTTTTAGTTAGTCAGTAAACACTGAAAGACATTGAAAGACTCAGAAGGCAAACTGGGGGAAGAAGGTGTGAGAAAACATCTGCTGATACTGTCAATTGTATATTATAATATTGCTTATTAATTAGGCTGGGCTTAGCTGAACGGTTCTCCCGTTGAGCTCAGCTGTGATCATACAATGACAGCATCACCAAGGTGTCTCTACTTCAGGATGTTAGCTTACCAAAATGTCTTATTAATTATAGACTTCTGGTTGTATCCTTTTGCCTGTTTGTTTTAAACTAGCTGTATCTGGAGATGCAAACATATCATCAGCAAGACAAACCTTTTCTCTTCTTTTATAATGCTTATTCCATTTTTTAATTTCTGGCACACTGAATTCACTGATAGATCCAAGATAACCTTAAATAATAATGGAGTTAGAGCCCACCCCCTTCTTCACCCTGATTTTAATTACATGCTCCTAGTGTTACATTATTCAAAATAGTATCTGTGGTTGAAATAATAAATAATTTTTACCATACTGTGGTCTCTATTTCTCAAGCAAACAATAATGACTAATTTCCCGGCTATACATATCAAGCTGGTTCTTAAGTTTGTTCTTTAAACAATAAGAGAAGGAGATACACATTTTGAAAAAGAGACTTGAGAAAAATCCCAGTATATGAGCCCCAAGTCCAGTCATACCTCCAGGACATTTTTTGGATTCCTAGAAAATCCTACCTGGATTCATATGTCATTCCACAGGCCACACTAACTCTGCAGAGCCCCAGTGTGTGGCCCCTCCCACATAAGCTAAGATGACCAGGAAGCACCTGCCCTTCTAAACTAAGGTAGATAAAGGTGAGTTAATTTTAAAAAGTGGATGCTTTCCACTCTTCCAATATCCTTGCCTTTTTAAACAACTCAGGCAAGAACTCAGTTAATTAAAATGAGAAAGTAGTCCCCATTCTTCTAATTTTCCTTGAGGTTCAAGAACTCCATAATTAGCAACTGCTATGTGAGAAGACTGAGGGTAACTGCTTCTTCACCCATCACCTCCTCCCTGTTGTACTAGGAGACAGTCATTCTCTCCTCCTCCCACCTTCCAGTAATCTCCATCCAGACCCTAGCAGATCCAGGCTATTTGTTCTAAGCATTCCTGGCCCAAGATAAAAATCTCCAGGCCTTCCAACTCACCCTCGGTGCTTTATTATTTTTGTTAAAGATTTATTTAGTTATTTTAGAGAAGGGAGGGAGGGCCACAGGGAGAGGAGAAAGTCTTAAGCAGACTCTGCACCGAGCGCAGAGCCTGATCTCGTGGCCCTGAGATCACTACCTAGGCAGAAACCAGTTGGGTACTTAACCAACTGAGCCACCCAGGAGCCCCTCACCATCCGTGCTTTAAAGGGCTAGCTATGTGGTTAACTACAAAAAAGCTATGGTTTCCCTTCCTTGTACTTGTGCCTGTTGGTAGTGCTCACCCATGCTGCTTGAGCTCTCTTTAGTGATTTACTTTGGAAATGCAACATTAACAAATGTGACACAAAGGGAGGCTCAGAAAGCCTGTATCTTGGGGCTTTCCTCTGGTGCCCCGAGCCACCACAGCACTGAGCCCAAGTTAGTCTGCTGGGGACACAGTCCAGTCATCTCTGTCACCCCAGCTCATAACCAGGTGCATCCCAGACGCAGGGGGGCCTTGGTGCCTGCAGTCACATGTGTGAGCCCAGCCAATTCCAGCAGAAAAGCCAGTCAACTAAGCCAGCCTAAGTTGCCAACTCACAGAATCGTAAAAGAAAGACATGGTTATTTCTTAAGCTTCTAAGTTTGGTGTGGTTTTTACACAGTGACATCTCGCTGATAAACAGCACTGTTATTCCAGCTGGCAAATGGGGCCCTAGAACCAGCAGGAAGACCTTAAAACCATTTCTTACAAAATGGGACAGAGATGCTCCAGTAGGATCCGGGCACAGATCTGGAGGCAGTGTAGAAGGAATGTTGCCTGCATCACGCTGCCACCACGGTGCATGCTTTGCCAATGGGATGGTTGGTTAGGGTTCCTAGAGACTGCTGTATATTATTAGGCAGAGGAAAGAGAATTAGCATGGGCATTGCCTATGGCAAAGAGCAGAGCAAGGCACAATGGGAAAAGGAAATAGATGCGAAAAGTAGGGCTCAGACAGAGGCATTGAAAGACCCAGAAGGCATACCAGGGAAAGAAGGTGTGAGAAAACATTGTAGACAAATCTCTAAGGCCAGCATTTGTCTAGATTTTCTCTTTCAGTATCGGTCTCCAAGTGAATAAATTTACTTATGATGCTAAAAGATTTATACCTTTGAATTCTTAGGTGCTTCAGAAGGGGAATGGAAAAACATTATTTTTTCAGGAAGTTTGTACAGTCTCAGATGATATAGACTTGTACTTACTAAAACAAATTCTAACACTAATTTTTTTCAACCTGAAGACCCTGTTTGCTCAGCACTTCAAAGATGTCAGGGCCAATATCTCTGCTGTTCACTTGACATTGCCTCGTGGTCGTGGTGTGGTTGCCACAGCTTCAGCCATCACTTCTACCCTTCTATCGCTTCTGCATTCAAAGCTGAGAGAAGGGAACGGTCTTTCTAAGTGAGTACATTTAGTAAACTGAGGTTATTTGGGAACATTTAAAGGAAAGCAAAAGCTTTCCCAGACCTGGCACTCTCCAACTTTCTCTTACATTTATTGGCCAAAATTAGGCCATATTGCCAGTCCTAGCTACAGGGAAGGCTGGGAAAGTGGAGAACCTGAATGTCATGATTCTCAGAGCCCCATCAGAAAAAAGCAGTGCCTAGAGTGGAAAGTTGATAAGATGTATTTTATCCATTATGTCTATCATATAACATCATATACTCATATACGTATTATATGCATATTTATCTTAAGGTAGGATGTCTCAAAAAATCAAGATCTGCATGATGACTAACTTTGGTCCATTTTCTTGCAGTATTCAAGTTAGAATAGCTCTGTGAAATACACATGGCCCTCTCGATGTGGGGTGGGCAAACTTTCTTTAAGGGTTCTATAGTAAATATTTTAGGATTTACAGCCACACTGTGTATCACAACTACTAACTCTGTTGTTACACTGTGAAATCTCGTTTCTTCATGAATGGTTGTTGAACTATTTGAAATTCCTTTTTAGCATCAATGGAGAAGATCGGATCATTTATTCTTTTTAGATCCCATTAATATGATGAATCCTATAATGGATTTCCTATATTTCAAACATCTTTAGATTTCCTCTGCTGCTCCCACAGTTATATGCATCTCCTATAATTCTCCAATCTCTCCCACAATTCTTGGTATTATAATTGTCATCTCCCTCACAAAAAAATCATGTTATATTCATGTCATATTTTTGTGCACTGTTGAATTCTGTTTGCTAACAATCTATTTGAGATTTTTGTATCAACCACAAGTGAAATAGGTCTGTTTTCCTTTTATGTGCAATCTTTATCAGTTTTAGGAATGAGCTTTAACATGATAGAAAAGGACTAATTCTGAGAGATGATTATAAAATGTTACAAAGCATAAGGTTCTTTTTTCCCCTTTTGCTTGATGAGATGATATCCTCTATGAGCTAAAAGGGAGAGATACATGCCCTTTCCCATGGTTACCAACAAGGCATTATGCCAACAATAAAATCATCTACAGTTTTGCAGGCCAGAACAACCTATCTCTCTCAGGTCCCAGATGGGCCACCCAAAGTAATGCTAGTAAGAGAGCACTTTTGTGTGTGTCTCTCACAAAACAAATGTAATGTGATGTCAAAGGCTAGAATGGATTTATGCACATTTCCATTCTAATGTGAAAATATATCCAACATCTCAAGCTCAGTTTTCAGTACCCAGTGTTTGATATTGGCCTTGGTCTTCAGATATGCTGTGATCATTGGATCATGTGCCTTTCTTGGGATGGGGGAATGGGAAAGAAATACTCCCAGGTGTTAATGTGAAAGAGAATAAAATCAAGATGTTGGGATTGAGGAATTAGAGCCATGTTGCAAATGCACCTAAACTAGCTCCTTTTTCTTAAATTATTATGCCCGCTCAATTGTGACTGCTTTCTCATAGGCATATTACTGTGCACCAGTGCACTTAGGATAATTACTAATGAAATGCAAAGCATGTTAAAACTCAGTATACTTTGATCATGCAGGTTTTCATCTTAAATAACTTAGAAATATTAGCTCCATGTATTTTACAAATAAAACTTGTTCCTTTTCTCATGCTGAGTTTTTTTCATGAAATTCCTAGTTTAAAAGCTAAGTTTACAGTAATTGACTCATTATATTTTTTACCACAGAGACAGAACACAACTTTATTGTTTGTATATAGCTCTTTTTCAGTTGTGCCTAAAGATTAATTGTTGTCTGTAAGACTATCTTATAATCAGCAATGTTCAATAAGTGTTTAATTTCAATTTGTTCAAATTGTTTATGTGGTAATAAAATCAATAAGGTGCTTTGATTGAACAAATATAAGAACATAGATATAAATGAAGATAGACTTATACAGATGCCTCCTGCCCTCCAGGATGGACTTATGTTACTGGCCAAAATGTATGTAGCAAGGATATCCCAGGGCCAGCAACTTTTTATCAAAAGAACTTTCAAGTCTGATGCACCTGGGTGGCTCAGTAGGTTAAGTGTTTGCCCTCGGCTCAGGTCATGATCTCAGGGGTCCTGGGATCAAGCCCCCCTTCTGGCTCCCTGCTCAGCAGGGAGTCTGTTTCTCCTTCTCCCTCTGACAACCACCACCACCCCCGCACCTGGCTCGTGTGCTCTCTCTCAAATAAATAAATAAAATATTTTTAAAATAAAAAAAATAAAATAAAATAAATTTAAGTATTAAAAAAAAAACTTTCATATAAGAGCTGACGCAAAATAGTATCTTAAAGACTACAAAACCTCTGGCTCTTCACAGAAGCTCAACCAGGGAAAGAATATGGCACCAGGGCATATAGACTATCAGTTAATGTTACTTTTTGTATTAGAAAACAAAAGGAAAAAAGGGATCTGGTTAATTTCATGAAACTAAACTACAGTAATTTTTCTTTTAAGATTTTTATTTATTTATTTATTTGAGAGAGAGAGAATGAGAGACAGAGAGCATGAGAGGGAGGAGGGTCAGAGGGAGAAGCAGACTCCCCGCCGAGCAGGGAGCCCGATGCGGGACTCGATCCCGGGACTCCAGGATCATGACCTGAGCCGAAGGCAGTCGCTTAACCAACTGAGCCACCCAGGCGCCCAGAACTACAGTAATTTTTAAACAAGTTTTAGGTGACTTTCTAGGGAGTGTTTACTTCTAACATTAACAGAAGTTTTAAACAGGGCATTGTTTGTATAGAAGGACATTTTAAAATATATATATATAATAATATTGTATTTTTCTCTCATTAAGATAAAAGACGTTTTTAAAGTAATGAAAACCATGTTGCTATAGATTAATAGCTACTTTCCTCTCTTAATTCTAAGGGTACTTGACTCCATCCCAGAAACCCAAATTAGCGGGCGCATCCTAAGCCTTGTTGTAACTCAGAAGGAACTTGCAGACATGAGTGTCCCAGTCCCTCCAGCCCTTTTGCCCCCATTACTTCCATGGCAGCTATTCTTTCACTTTAATTAGACTTTAAATTTCTTGACCCTTCTATTTTCATTCTATTATTTCTCTTTTATCTTCACTTCCTTCCCAAATCAGGTGATCCATCACTTCAACTACACCCTTCTCAGGGTCCTTATTTCCCTGGTTTTCTGCTCACTTCATAAAACCTGGCCCAGAGAAACATTCCAACCCAAGAGCAACCTGATCTGCCTTCTGTGCATTCCACCTGGTCTTTCTGCACAACTGGAAAATGGTGCAATCACAAAGATCTGGCATCCTTGGAGCCAACAGGGAAGCTTCAGTCAGGCTTTCCTCACTGCGTATCAATCCTTCATTTCCCTACTCAGCTCCCTTTACCAAGTGGCTGTTTCGAAACCTCTCTCCTCTTCTCAGGCACCCTACCCCTATCATCACCTCCCCTTTCCTCCCCTTACCATGAAGTTACTCCCATCCACAACAGTCTTTCTCTCCTTCTCTCTGCTGGGAATGGAAGAAACAGTCTAATTCCTGCTGCTGTGTTCTGGATCCCATCCTTTCCCCACCTCCTCAGAGAATTCTTCCATTCAATTATACCTCATGATCCAATTATATTTCATTTCATTGCTCGACTCCTTCTTAAAATTCTTTATTTTGCTTCTGTAAATCTACACTTTTGGAGTTTTCTTCTTAATATCCTGGGTCATTCCTTTTCAATCTGATTTTTGATGATTCTTCCTCCATAGGTGCTTTAAAAATGTGTGGGGTGTGTGTGTGGGGGGGGGGGCGTGTGTGTGTGTGTGTGTGAGCTAGAGTTTTGCATCTTGCCATCAAGGATTCTGTCCCCTGCATTCCAGTGCTATGTTTATAGTTGGCATTGACATGATATTGACTTTCTTATTTCTGTGTCTTCAACTCAAATTTCCCCTTAATTATAAAGCAATATATTCAATATTTACTGAATATTTGTCATTATATTGATAGCTCAGTTGCCAACACTGAGGTCAGTTTTCCACTCACCCCCAAAAATGCTGTTACTTCTGTGGCTCCCTCTTAAAGAAGGATACCAGCATCCACCCCAGTTACCACAGCTAGAAACCCTGGAATTATCTTTGATGTCTCCCTCCTTCTCTCACTATATTTAATTTATCACCATAGCCTGTTGATGTCTTCTAGAAATGTCTTGATTTTGTCCATTTTGTATTATACCCACTGCCCTTCTTTGGCATAGATTTTAATCTTTTTTCATGTGTAGTATAAGAATTTTCTAACTGGTCCCCTGCCTTCAACCATGCCTCCTATTAATCTGATTATTTCTAAAATTTAAACAGATTTAAAACTGTTCAGTGATTCTCCACTGCTATTGGAAAAACATCCAAGTTTTCTAGAATGTAAGGAATTCTATCTAAGCAATCTGTAGTTACCAAATGAGCCATCGATTTCTCTTTCTTTCTTTGCCTTCAAGTCATGGACATGCTACTTCCTCTGCCTGTCAGAAACTAAAACAAATTGGCCTAATCATCTGCCCTCGTTTAGGATTTCATTCAGATGTCATCTCTTTGGAGAAGATTTTTCTGATCTCCCCAAAGTTAAGCTGTACGTCCCTTCTATTACACCACATGCTACCATAGTATCTTAAAAGGGGAATATTGCCTTTAATATGCAATATGCAATTTCTCCAAGTTCCCATATGCCAGAATATCCCACAAATATCTCTGCCTCAGTTTTCCCCTCCTCTAGTCAAAGAAGGTGAGACATCTTTCCTTCCTTCAGTTTAAAGCTAATTCTTCACCTTACACTCTGGATTCCATCCTCTCATGCTTCTTGTCACTCAGATCCACCAATGTTCCTTTACCTCATAAATTCACACTGAGGGAGAAATACCAGAACTTGTGCTCTGCTGGCTCCTTCTCTCAAGGATGTGCTCTCTTAAAGTCTCTTCCTTCCTTAAACCCTCCCCTTTTACCTTGCTCATGAATTACACATCTCCTTTTCTTCCTGTCTTGCAAGAGTAGATAATATTCTTTGCATCATTTCCTCACCTGATTTTACTCCTCAAGCCACTATTGGAACTCTGTAGGTTTGTTTTCCAGTTTCACCAGAAACTTCCTAGTGGCCAAATGCAATGTACCTCATTCATCCCTTTTCTGCTCTGTCTACTGTATTTGACACTTGGTCAGTCTTAACATTTTTCATATTCTTTTCTCCTTCAGAATATGTAACACCCTAATATCTTGATTTTTTTCCCCTACGTCTCAGCTCATTCTTTCATGGCTTCATTTTCAGGCTTCTCTTCCAACTGACCTTTAAGAGTCAGTGTTCCAGATTGTCCCATTATTGACCCTCTTCTCAGTCCCTTCTCTCTCACCATGTGATCTCATCCAAGCCACTTCCCACTTGTGGCTTCCATAGCCTACACCTCTTTCCTGAATTCCAAAACATATATCCATTTTCTTTCTCGAAGTCATAGACTTTGGATGACCCCCAACATCATCAATTCAACTTCTGTACTACTGAATTCATTATTATCCCTTGTCACTCCACAACCGATCTTCCTACATTTTCTGTTTCAGTGAGTTTGACATGCTCAGACACAGAAACCTGACATTGATTTTGGCTTGTGCTTCCCTTTCATGATCCTTTCACTTTCCTCCCAAATCAAATCCACTTTTCCAACTTTCTCAATATTCTTCAAATGTCCCTCTGTGTTCTCATTGCCACCACTTTGCCCAGGCCCTTTTGATTTTTGAGAAATATTGCAATATATGAAGACCTTCACTCCTGCTTCCAGCTTCATTATTTCTAATCAATGCTTCACTCTTCTGTTGTGGCAGTTTTTCTAGACCATCAATTGAATGAGGTCATATTCTTTCAGTGCACTACAACATGTTAAAGATAAAAGCCAGCATGCAAGGCCATTTATGATAAAGTCTGACTACGCATGTCTCAGAATTCACGTTCCTCCACACTCCCCCATTCCTCACTCTTCAACATAGCTCCCTGCCTCCCCCAAAATTCAGTGTCACATCACACCAAACTTCTTACTGGCCCCTGAGGAGATCATGTTGTTCTTTGTTCACATATTTTGCTTATGCAGTTTCCTCTGGTTGGTCTGTCCTTCCACCTTTTTTATCTGCCAAAGTAGAGCTTCAGCTCCATATTTACCTTTTCCAAGTCACTTCACTGACTCCTGCAAGATGTGTTAGGGGACATTCCATGTTATTTTATAGTACTCGTGCACATTTCTGACATAAAATTTATAATATATTTTATTGTAATTTCCTATTCCCCAATAGACTAGAAATTTCTTGAAATCAGAGGCTTTGCTTTTCAATTCAGTATTCACATCACATGCAATGTTAGGCACATAATAGGTACTCATAAATGCTTATTGAATGAAAGCAGACTTGTTCAAACCAGCAAATCTATTTAACTATCCATGCTGTGTAGAATATGGGAAAGGAACAAAGATACTAATGTTGTATTTAAATCATTTTTCCCTTTTCTATGGAGAAATCTAAGAATAATATAAGAAAAGTGCCACTAGTATTTCTGTGGTCATTTATATTTTCAGTAATCTTGCACAGGCCATTTAGAGTTTAAAATGTAACCTTGCTATGATCAATAGGGGTTTTAGAGGGAACAGGCCTAAAAACACATAGCATAAAAGATATAGCATTATCTTAATCCTATTTCTTTCTCATTTCTTATGGACACATTGATTCATTCATTATTTATTCATTATTGAGCACTCACTATGTGCCAGACATCCTGGTAAACACCAGGGTCGCTAAGATGAGTAAGACTTGGCCTCTGACATAAAGAAGCTCGTAGTAGTGGAGAATGCACTTTCAAACTAAGTATTTTTTTTAACTATGAATTAATAGAAACATATTCTCATTTTTATGAAAGTGCAGAGGAGGGAACAGTCAATGGGATGAGCAAGACCAAGCAGCAATTAATTGTTCAGGATGTTGCCATGTGGGAAATGATATTTGAGTACCGGAATGAGGTTGCCCGAAACATCACTCCATTTACTTTCCCCAAACCACATCCCTTCATTTCTCCTACTTACTGTTACACACCCATAAGCATCTCTTATCCACACCTTGTCTCTAATTCACTCTTGTAATCATGTTTATATACCTGAAATCTTGTTAATTTTGTGTTTCCTTAATTAGATCTTAAAACATCCTAAATACAGGATCATATTTTCATAATCCTAATACTAAATTATGTCCCTGTGGGTGCTTAATATATACTTATTAATGCATTGGCTTAATGTTCCTAGCATCATTAAACTGGAGGAATCAGTTTCTATGTTTGATAATTTTCACTTTTTTATTAATTTATGGAATGGTAAATTACATTGGTTCAAATATTCTCTAATTCATTTTCTTTTTTGATACACAATTACTCACTATAAATTATCTCTTCCTCATAATTTCAGTCATTTAAGGTTACAACATATAAATAGTATCACCAAACATAGCTTCCTAATTTGTTTCACATGTCAAGGTAGTAGGAAATTGCATAAAGTTTTCTTAAACTCCAACAGAACGTCTATATAGAAGAGACTATTCTGTTAGAAAGCCCCTTATTTTGCTATTCCCCATAGTTCAGTAGGGATGTTGAATAAGCCAAAAGAGGATACTGTATAGCAGAATACTATCTAGAAACTGGGTAATTAGATCAGAAAGACCCAGTCCAGACTCTTCTACTTGCTTCCACAGGAGCTTGAGAAAGTTATACAAATTTTCAGAGTCTCAGTTTTCTCATCTGTAAAGTAAGATAAATACGAGAATCAATAAACTAATGAGAGTACAGTATTTAGCAAAGTTTTTGGGCAGACACATATAAATGGCTCAGTTGCTACTATTATTGGTGTTACTTACGAGCTAAGACTTTAATACGGCATGGAAATTGTTGTGAAGGAAAATATGAGATTAAAGAGGTTGAATATCTAGCAGAACATAAACTGCTTGCTTCATCATAAAATAACACCTTCACAATCATAGCAAGATTATTTTAACTCTGCAGAAGAAATAGAAAAATTTTGTTGCAAAATTGGTTGTAAAACTTTACAGAAGAAACCATTGTTACCTAGACCAAGTGAAACTGTTCTGAAATGTTTTGTTCATTTTGCCAATTTCTCTTCTAATGAAAGTGCAGTCCAATATATACATTTGTATATATATGTTATATATCACATTAAAGTCAGTAGAACTTCAGGGAATAGATAGTCAAATTGCCACACCATTACTTCTGAAGGAATAACTCCAGTTACAAAATAAGAATTATTTTGACTAAGTAATATGACAGATTACAAAAAATAGATTTAGGGGCACCTGGATGGCTCAGTAAGTTAAGCATCTGCCTTTAGCTCAGGTCATGATTCCAGAGTCCCAGGATGGAGACCCGCATCAGGCTCCCTGCTGAGCAGGGATCTGCTTCTTCCTCTCTCTGTGTTTGCTGTCTCTCTCAAGTAAATAAATAAAATATTTTAAAAATAGATTTAAAGAGGAAACTTTGCAAAAATAATTTTTCTATATGAAGTCAAACTATCAAGTCACAAGTCACACAACAACCTGTAATTGAATCTTCTACCCCACTTTGACAGCATACCATTTGACACAAATCAGACTGAAAAACAAAACAAAAAAAGGCACATGTCAACAGAGCAGCTCAATAATTTTAAAATGTTTATGGTAATAATACCTTTATGGATTCTATCATTTTATTAGCAAGAGGGAAATAGAAAAAATCAATTTTAATTTCTTTTAAAAATCACTTTTTGTATCAGAATAAATCCCAGTTCCATGGCTATCTGTTTGGAGAGCTCATTAGAAATGAAATGGAAAAAAGAAAGAAAGAAAGAAAGAAAGAAAGAAAGAAAGAAAGAAAGAAAGAAAGAAAGAGAGAGAGAGAGAGAGAGAGAGAGAGAGAGAAAGAAAGAAAGAAAGAAAGAAAGAAAGAAAGAAAAGAAAGGAAAGAAAGAAAGAAAGAAGGAAAGAAGGAAAGAAGGAAGGAAAGAAGGAAAGAAGGAAGGAAAGAAAAAGAAAGAAAGAAAGAAAGAAAGAAAGAAAGAAAGAAAGAAAGAAAGAAAGAAAGAAAGAAAGAAAGAAAGGAGATGTGGATTTGCAGCCTCAGACAAAGTGATTCGGGTTCATTTTCATCTTTCTAGGGTTAAAATACGAATATATAGAGTTTCTCTTGTATGTTTTCTCTAGGGAAATTACCTTTTAAGTTCTTAAAGACCATAGTTTCTTTTCATATTTTAAACTTTAAAAAATATTTTTATAACCTTACTTAAAGTTTGCCTGACTAATTCACAAGGTCTTTAGGGATCTCTCAAATCTAGATTATTCCATACCTAGACTGAGTGTACCTTCTTCTTACAGGTCATTCAAACTTTTATATAACAAAGTTTTATTTTTCTGTTAGGATCAAAATGTTCTCAGAAGCTGACAAATTTTTTCATATGCTTTTAAGAAAAAAATATAATTATGTAAATTTCCATTTTTGTAAGCTATTTTAACTACATATTAGCTAATCTTTAAATTAGTTAATGTGGGAGAAAAGGTAAGCATTTAACTTCAATAAGGAGAACTTCAATTAAATTTTCACTTTTCAGAGAGAGTACATTTAACTCCATGAGTATTTGAATTATTCTTGTCAAGGGTTAATGACAGTCTCCGTTCTTAAGTTTTCACTAAAGAATTCCCAAATATTTCATCCCCAAAGTCCAAAATTATATTTACTAATAGTAATTAGTGATGATTGGGGTTCTAGCTTACATTTAGTGAGTATAAAAGTACAGTTCTTCTCCAGAGCCAGTACATCTTCAAATCAGTATTTATTAGGTATTTCTTCAGCATTTCTGTGAAAGAGAATTTGAGGCCTTGTGGAGGACATAGGTAGAGGAGAAGGAGGAGAAGGAGGATTAATGATAACCACACTCATCCTCTCTAGAATCCCAATCACTAGGATTTTTGTCCTCAGACTTGAATACATAATCTTTTTTTAAAGATTTTATTTATTTATTCATGACAGACAGAGAGAGAGAGAGAGAGAGGCAGAGGGAGAAGCAGTCTCCCAAGGAGCAGGGAGCCCGATGCGGGACTTGATCCCAGGACCCTGAGATCATGACCTGAGCCAAAGGCAGACGCTCAACCATCTGAGCCACCCAGGCGCCCTTGAATACATAATTTAGCAAAACAAAGAGAATTAACCAGGCTCACTCCTTAAAGTTTAGCAAGCATCTAATTTTATTTGAGCACTGTCCCAGGACTCCATCTGCTTCCCTACTCAAATGGTTTACCAGAGTATTCCTTCTCACCATATATGTAGTGCTCTAACCAAAATCCTGGCAAACACACTTTTTCCTGTCTCAAGTTTCCATTGATGTTATATTCCATCAACAATGCTTTAGTGACACTTACAAAATGATACCATGAGAAACTACTCAGCTGGGGCACCCCTTCATCCACTCTCGCTAAATTAACTGTTGACTTCCTGGAAACTTTACTCTGGCCACCCCAACACCACATTCTCCTTGTCTGGCAGTCTGTTTTAGGCTCCCCCAACTAATTCCTATTCCCAATTTCTAAATGTATTATTAAATTTATCTATATCTACTTCTAAAATTTAGGCACATTGTCCTAGGTAGATGGTCCCCAGAGATCTGAGTTCTACTCTCTGCTTTCTCTCCCCTTTAGTAAAGTTCATCCACATTTATTTCCTTGTTTGTTATCAGCCTTTCCTTTGGGTTCTTAGGCTACAGACCTAGCATCCATTTCTCCGCTGGAGTTGTTTAACACTTGCATTCTCAGGAATGCCTCAAGTGGAATATGTCAGAATAAATCAATTCATAAATTTTCTTCCCAAACCTGCTTCTTGTCCCTCTGTGTTGCTGTAAATGGTGCCAACATCTACAACAGACTCAGCCCAGGGCCAGTCTCATACCTCTTTTGCTCTGGCACCTTCTTCATCCGACTCATGCCTAAATTATTTCCTCTGTCTCATTTCCTCTGTCACTCGTCTAGTTCATTATTTCTTACGTAAAGCCATTGTTGTCTGACTGTCTTCCTCCTTTTACTCTCTTCCCTCCTTAATGCCTTCTAAACTGCAGACCACACAGTCTCCCCAAAGTACAGCTCTTCCAGTGACTCCCTATTATCTACTAATTAAATTCTAAATATCATATTCTTTATATCTAACACTTCTTTGGTGTGCTTTTACCTTTATTTACCACAACTGCTCAAGACATAACCTTGGATTGTACTCAGCGAGACATTCCAGGATACACACTGCTCTTTTCCTCCCACAGATGTCCTTTAGTTCATGCCAAACCCTGTAGCAGGAATGCCTTTCCCCAGAGCTGATGCCCTATTGTCCTTGAAGCATTTTTTGATTATCCTCTCTACCTAGCCTTACCACAACCACTCAGTTATTCTACAGACCTGACCATATTTGTTTTCTTCATAGTTCTCTACATTTTGAAATTCTTTGTGAGTGTTCATTTGTTTATTCTCCAGCCTGTAACATCCAGGGTCATGAATGAAGGTTTTTGTTGTTGTTGTTCATTTGTTTGTTCTTTAATCACCATGTATTTCCAGGATGAAGAAAGCTTGAAAAAGATGAAAATATGATTTGCAATTCTTCTTTGCACTAGGCATTGTCTTTTGTGCAGTGAGATATTCTATCTCCACTGTTTGGACTCTCAAACCATTTTTAATACAATACTTTAATGGTAATTACACTAATGTTGATAAATTTTCATCCAGAAGTCATTTTCTGGAAATGAGCTCCATTGTGCCAATTTATTAATTGATGCAAATTTCTCAGGCTATTTTCCTTCTTATTATCTTGCTAAAATTATTATTTATTTTTTAAATTTTTATTTTTTTTTTGAGGGGAGTTGAAACACATTGTTACATTAGCTTCCGGTGTAGAACATAGTAATTCAACAACTCTATATGTTAAACTATACTTTCCACGAAGTGTTGCTGTCACCATTCAATGTTGTTACAGTATCATTGACTATATTCCCTATGCTCTACCTTTTATTCCCATGATTTACTTATTCATTTCCTAACTGGAAGCCTATATCTCCACTCCCCTTCACCCATTTTGGCCATCCCTCTAGTCCCTCCTGGTAATGTTTATTCATTTGTTTTATTTTTTTAGATCCTACACATAAGTGAAATCATATGGCATTTGTCTTTCTCTGACTGGCTTATTTCACTTAGCATTATATTCTCTATCTAGATCCATCCAGGTTGTTGCAAATGGCACAATCTCATCCTTTTTCATTGCTGCATAATATTCCATGATATCTATATTCCATATATATAATATTATTTTTTGTCCATATCAAATTTTAAAGAATTATAGTTTTTGCTGTTATACATTTTTTGTGTGTGGCCATTTTCTCCTATTCAGTCTAAACCTTCTAGGTCATAGTTGACAATTTAAATGTCTAGATTATTTGCTTCCTCTAATTTTTATCAATTATAGTTTTGGCTATTTTCAGTTTAATTTTTTTGTTGCTTATACTACTAATGATATTCATTATGAATTGGAAATAACAGAAAATTTTATTTATTCATTCAGTACTACATGAAAAAACTGTGAAGAATTTGGTGAGAGAGAAAGAAGAGGAAGAAAAGAATTTTGGGACATTGACAAACCTACTCACAGGGAGGGACTCATCATCTATATAGAAAAAGAGAGACAATCTGTGACATTTCTGGTTACTTTGAACTCTCACAGAACACTCCTCAACGGAACAAGACCATAGTGCTTGATTTGAGCTCCCTGCTCTGTGTGTGTGTGTGTGTGTGTGTGTGTGTGTGTGAGAGAGAGAGAGAGAGAGAGAGAGAGAGAGAGAGCCCAGAAAACACCTCCAGCTAAAAGTCAGTGCAATTGTGGAGATGGCCTCACTTGTTTACTTTCTCTTAGGGAGTCACAATCCTACATTGCATATTTTCCAGTGTTTGAAACATTGATTATATATATATTTCACTCTTTATAACTCTTTACAATGGAGGACTAGTTTGAAACTGGTTTCTGTAACATGGTTAAAAGCAGAAGTCATTTCCTATTTGTTTGGGGCCTATCTTTTGTGTTGGAGTTGGACTCAAGAATGAGTCTCAGAAGAGCTCACTAGGGCTCCGTGTCCACAGGAAGTTTGGTGGAATGAATAGTGGATTTCACTGTCACTCACATGGCTGAGGCCCAGCTAAGTGGAACAGCTCAGTCTATTTACAGAAAATTATTGACTCTTTAGGATGTGAAGATTGCTGCCTACCTCTCACTTTTGGGGGAGAACATTAAAGGGAGGGTGCTGAGGGGCTCTATTCAATATGCTTTCTTTCATTTAATACCCGATTTTTAGTCCATTGTCCCTACTTCACCCTGTGCCTGGTGTCCCGGAGTTGAGTCTCTCTGTTTCTATTTCTCCAGTAAATAGCCCCCACAGCTCCTACTGCTGAGCAGGAATCATCTGGCTACTTTGGGGTAGACATGTCTTGTTGACTCTACCCTCATAACATATCTAGAAACTAATGGTATTCCAACATTTCCATTGCTATCACTCCAGTCCTAGCCACCTGTGATGGTTAATGTTATGTGTCAACTTGGTTGGGTTACGGTGCCCAGTTCTTTGGACAAACAAAAGTGTAGATGTTGCTGTGAAGGTATTGTTTAGATGTGGTTAACATTTAAATCAGTTAGCTTTGAGTAAAGCAAATTACTGTCTATAATATGTGTGGGCTTCATCCAGTCAGGTGAAGACCTTAAGAGCAAAGACTGCGGTTTCCCAGAAAAGCAACAATTCTGCCTCAAGACTGTAATGGAGAAACCCTGCCTGAGTATCCAGCTGGCATGGCTTGCCCTGCGAAGTTTGGACTCAAGACTGTATAATCAACTCTTATCTAAATTTCCAGCCTGCCAACTTGACCTATGGATTTTGGACTTCCCAGCCACTACACTCATGTAAGTCAATTCCTTAAATAAATCTTCCCTTGGAACACATGGTGGCTCAGTCAGTTAAGCATCTGCCTTCAGCTCAGGTCATGATCCCAGGGTCCTGGGCTCAAGCCCCATGTTGGGCTCACTGTTCATCTGGCTCCTGCTCAGCCTGTTTCTCTCTCCCTCCCCTTCTCTTGCTCTCTCTCTCACTATTTTTCTCTCTCTCAAATAAATAAATAAAATCTTAAAAAAAAAAATCTTCCCTTGCCCTCCATCTTCCCTCCTGGTCTCTCTCTTCCCCTCTCTGTTTATATATGTATATGTATATGGTATACATATATGTGTATGTGTACACATTTATGTGTATGTATGTACTATTGATTCTGCATCTCTGGAAAACTCTAATTCACTACCATCATTTCTCACCTGGATTCATCGACCAACTCAAACCTGATCTCCCTTTCCCCCAATTCCATCCCTTACAGCCTATTGACTAGATAGCAACTAGAGTCTTTTTCAAACTCAAGTTTTTACCTATTGTAAATAGAATAAAGTCTAAACTCCTGACCACGGGCAAGGACTCTAGCCCCTGTCAACTGTCCATCCTCACCTCTCATCATTCTAACTTCTGCTCAATCTGCTCCAGCTATCCTTGCTTCCATCCATATCTCTGCCACAGGAGATTTGCACATGTTTCTATTGCTTGAAGTGTTCTTTATCCAATTCTTTACCTGCTCATAAATCTCTGCTCCAAAATTATCTCCTAAAGTGGTTGCGCCTAGTTGACCCATTCACTAATCACCTTCCTTTTCCTCCTACCATTAACCATCATTCTTATCCCTTTATTCTACTTTCTTTTTCTTCATGGCACTTAACACAACCTGAACTTACATCACTTAATTATTTATCTCCTTTTTTTTTTTCTGTCTCCCTAACTAAAATGGAAGCTTCAGGAGGGGCGGAAAGATATCTGTCTTATTCCCTGTTTATCCTCAATGCCTAGAGAATACTTACTATGTGGTGATGACTCAATCGATATTCATTTAGATGAGTGAATGAATAGTCTTTGTCTGACATTTTGTAGCACGCTGCTTTGGTAACATAATCATAGAATTACGTTATCATCATTAGGCTGAATATAACAAATTAAAGACAGCCTCCATTCGAAGCATGTGTGCATTATACAGAATTTGAATGGTTTAACATAAAATTACATAAGAAAATTACAAAAGGAAACCCACCGATTATTCAGTTATACCTCACATTCTAGAAATCCGCGGGCTTCAATGGTTTGACAAGTTGTTTGACATCACATAGTCATAAGTGCTTCATAAACCCACCCAGGCATTTTCCCTCATTACATTTTCCTCTCTCAGAAAGGGATAGATTTCCATGTTTAAGTGACACTGAACCCAGTTCTCCATAAATCAAGCCTCAAATCAAGCCTCTTATTTAATTAAACAATTTGGCCAGTCCTATCTAAATCGGCTATTATCCAAATTGTCAGTCAAGTTATTCCAAAGGCAGAATGTTTAGTAGTGAGAGGATGGGACTAGTAATCAAAATACAGACTCTGGTCTACACATTACCCCAGTAAGCCTTGCACAACTAGGCCCCACAGAGTGGAGAATGATAATCATAACCATGTGAGCCGTTGAGATGTGTGGGTGAACACGCATTAGTGTGTGTGTGTGTACCCGTGTGCTAGCATGTGTATGTGTATGAGAGCGAGAGAGAGAAAATCAAATAACATAAAACAGATGGAAGTACTTTGACACCTGGCACTTAAAATATCAAAGTAAAGTATTATTACTGAATAATAACTGCTGACATTATTGAGCACTTCTTATGTTCTAGGCACTTCTCTAGGTGTTTACATTCAGTATCCTAAATAATCCCATAGAAGCCACATAGGTATGGTTATCTTCCTCAGTATATGTGTGAGTAAACTGAGGCACAGAGGGTAATTAGCCCAAAGAAACCCATCTAAAAAGTGGATGTCAGACTTCAGACTGAGGCATTCTGCTTCCTTCCAGAGTCTTGGGTTCTAGCCACATATTATATTGCTGCACAGATATACTTTTAGAAAACACTTTGGAGAAATTTTTCTTTTCAGTTTTCTAGCAACATTCTAAGAATGTGAGATGCAGCAAGGTGGCTGACTCATGGTAGGGGCCCTTAAATATTAATGCCTTTCCTTCTTTCCAGTATAGGATCCTGCCTCCTTGTTTGAACTTGTTTCACAATAGACATGGGGTTCCTTCCCACAGGCATTTTTGGTCCTAGTAGGTCATCCTACTGAGTTGAGTTTTATAATAAGATTGAATTGACCTATGTTTCATCTGGAATAGTGGGTAATACTGAGAATAAATATCAGTGTTTTGTAATCATTCTAATAACCAGGAACTGTGCTAAGCAATCGCCACACATTAACACATTACAAAAAGGCTCAAAATTACTTTGTTAAACATTTTTTCATAAGCTTTTCAGAATTATTTTGATAAATGTTCTAACACTTTTGTCCAAAATTGTGGGTAGACGGTCATGGGACCAGGACTTGGCAAGGCGAACAGAGATCTCCTCCATCGTTCTGCTGTCCTCCCTTTCCTCACCAAGAGCCTACATGATAAGCAAAAATGAGGCTTATCCTCAATTCTCATGAAAAATACAAGTTTTCACTTCTTCCTTGTGAATAAACTAAGTATTTATTTATGTCTCCCTAACCTACACCTGAGGAAATGATTGACCTGGTGCTTGTTCCTATTTAGCCAAAAATCCCTTTGATCCCCACAGACATATTTATTCCCATGAACAAGAAAAAAGAATGTGATCTTTCCTGGGGTGTGGATGGGGAGAGGGGAAGTTGGGGAGCAGGGTTTGATCTTGTTGAATATAAGTAACCTTCTTCAAATTAGTTCTTTTCTCAAAAACACTCAACAATGATTTTATGCTTCCCATTTCCTCCTTTTTGTCTATGAAATTGATTATTTCCACATTAAAAGATTGTCTTGAGGGGAAGTATTTTTTTTAAAGGGTTTATTTTAGGGTGGGGAGGAGCAGAGGGAGAGGGACAAGCAGACTGTGCACTGAGCGTGGAGCCCAACATAGGCTCAATCCCACCACCCTGAGATCCTGACCTGAGCTGAAATCAAGAGTGGGATGCTTAACCGACTGAGCCACCCAGGCGCTCTGAGGGGAAGTATTTTTTACAACATACCATGATCCTATACCTGCCCAGAGCAGAATACCATCATAAGTCATTAACATTCCATATGACTTCTGAATAAATAAAAGCTACAAAACCCTGGTTATATATAATCTCAGAAAATAATGTTTACAAACCTACTAAAACAAATGTAAACAGTAAATGTGGCATGAGGGTGATCAAAGGATGTACAGAGACAACCACTTATGGTTGGTCTGCCCCCTACGAGCCTGCACCAGCCAGCCCCTGGAATCAGGCCATTTTTAATGCCCAAAAAAAAAAAAAAAAAAAAAACAGGGAGAATAAGGTATGACCTTGCAGAAAGCCCCATGACAGTCTACTATATGTACAGTGATTTTGTGCCTAAATACATCTGGAAGGGATTTGGGACTCTGATTGTGGAATTTGATATTAAGCTCTTTGAGCCAAGAATCTGGTTCCTACCTAAGTTACAATTGCCCACGGTGCCCCTCAGTGGATCTTTACCTGGGGTGCTCTATCGGCAGTCACTGGTGATGGCTTGCCACAAAATCATAACCAGCATTTTCTTTAAATCATGGATTCAAAAGGACAGCCAGAACTCTAGCAGTTTGTTCACCACTAATGAGAAGTCGAGAGAGAATAGATGAGTTTTGAACCAAATCCCTCCCTAGAAGTCCCTTAGGAGTACACAGGTGGGTGTGAGCCCTTGGGAACACTGAAGTCTCCCGTTTGTCACAAACACAGAATTAACCTTCATCTTTGATATAGTGACCAAATATAAGTCCTATAAAATAGCATCTTGACCTGAAATGACACTGCAGGGCATTGACCTGCCCTGCAGTGTCATTTCAGGTCATATATCCCGTTAACAGAAAAATAGGAAATACGAGGTTCTCGTTGTTTTTCCCCACACTTGAATGACTTTCTCCTTTCATGAAAATAATACACTGCATTTCTCTTTTGAATTGTCTATTCTTTTAATTAGAGAACTGGGGAGATTTCTCTCTTGTTAAATCTTCCCATCCCTGTGAAACTGTAATGACTAGTGTCAAGCTGTCAGCTCGGAAAAGGTCTTTGCAGCTGCCTGTGTCACGTGGGTGGTTCTTCCCCCGCCAAAGCCAAATCCTTTTTTTATTTTTGCTCTTAAGTGAGCAAATTAGGATGAGGTAAAATGAATAAATCTTCATTACATTCTGGAAAACAGAATGGTAAACTGCTTACTTAAGCTCTACCAGGCAAATTAAACGAACAGGAAGTCCTTATTACACCAGAAGGTTGGATGACTTTTAACCATTGGGAAGAGTCACTGAGAGTGTACGTACTCTAATTTTCACACCTGGCCCAAATATGTCAGGAGTGATCTACCTTTTGCATTTGAAACATCACTCCGTCTTATTGTAGAGTGGAGTAGGCTGTATTTGAAGTCAAGTTCTTAAATAAAAACTTTTTAGACTGCTTAAAATTCTGCTTTCTCACGATACATATAAGCTTGCACTCCTTTCTGTCAACTTTTCTCTTCACCCACGCTTCTCTACTCAGGATATATTCAGGAAAATAGGCTCATTTTCCTAAGGGCATTTTTTATTCCAAGTTTTAAACTCATAAATATGAGGTCTGGCAATTTTTCTTTCTTTTTTTTTTTTTTTTTTTTTTTGCCACACCTGGTGGTCCAAAAGCAATTATAGGCTACAGAAAATAATGTTCTAAGGTAGCCATGGGCATGTTGCATCATCTTGCCCCACATGAGTTCAGCACATCTTCAATCACTTATAGCTCTTGAATATTAGGATAAAAGTATGCATGTATGCAGGCTGTAATCAAACAAGTTATTTTCCAAGCTCTCCCTAGGCCAGTGCGGGTATATTCAGCAAAATTTGGGTTGCCAACCCTTCTTCAGTAAATCTGTGTCTTCATAGTCACTGTGGGCCAGTAAGATTCACCCATATTCTCCCTATGTGCATCTAAATACACTCAGTTAAGAAGAAAATTCTGTTGAATTCAAATTAATATAGTGTATTTTATTCCATGGGATTTTTTTACATATGAGTTTATGTAAATTAAAAAGAAATACATGAAATTAATTCTGTGGTTCTTCAAAATAAAAATTTACCTACATTTTGTATGAATTTTTATTTTTTATTTTAAGGTTTTCCCTCATGGGCATCATCATAGGCCATTTTAACACATGTATTATACTTGAGAAAACATGTATTCGGAGGATGATGCTAGTTCAAGTTTTAGCAGCACATTAACTTTTAGAAATTATAGAGAAAGCCTAGTGATAACCCCCACTATCAAAAGACATACTTAGTAATTGTTATTAGTTTTGTATGGATTGCTAGAGACAGAATCTAGCTCTTCAAATTGTTAAATGCTGCCATAGTATTATGGAAGAAATAAAACACTTAATGCCATTCATTTCTTATTACTGTTTCTTAAGATCCAGAAATATTTCTATGTCCCAATACTCTTCACCCTAAGATACACAGAATACATTCTTTCTCAAAAAGTAACTCAACAGCCTATGATGTTTTTCGACATGTGGGAATCATGGATATTGTAATACGTAGAAAAACCATCAAACTTAAAAATCTTTTATATTCAGTCGACATATAACCAATGCAAACTTACCTTAAATGTTACAGCTCAGTGATCTGGGCACATCCTTCTCTCTCTCTCTTTTTTTCCTTTACTAAGCTCCAAGACTGCAGTGAGAGGAGCAGTGGATCCCGTGAGCACAGAGACCAGGCTCCTCCCCGTGTTGGCAAGAGCATTCAGGCGCCACCACTTTCTCCAGACCTCCCCTTGACTCCCATTTCACAACCCCTTCCCTTGTTGCAAGCACCCACCCTGCAAGTCCGGGTGCTAAGGCTCCAGTCCCAAGCAACACTTCTGCAAGAGGTATTGGCCAAAACCAAGTTGTTGTTTTTTGGGGGTTGGGTGTGTGTGTGTGTGTGTGTGTGTGTGTGTGTGTGTGTCTTGTTTTGTTTTGTTTGGGTCCAGTGAAGTTTCTCTTAGCCATCTTCTGTCTTATTCAATTCACAAATACAGTAGTTGTTACTTCCATACATTTTAGCAAGAGAGATAAATAATAAACAATAAATAAAAGTAAATTACATAACATTTTAGAAGGTAAATATGCTATAGAAAACAAAGAAAAAGAAGGACCAATTAAGGGGGATCCAGACTTCAGGGTGGGGAGGTTACAGTTTTCAATAGGGTGGTGAGGGAAAGCATTAATAACAAGTGACATTTAGGCAAAGACTTCTTTTCAATTAGAATTCATCAAAGTGAGGCTGATTCTAAAGTACGATAAATACCCACAAGAAAACAGAATTGCTCATTCAATTAGCTGGGTAAAGCAAAATACTGAACAGTTAGCATTGTGTGAGCAGAGACCTGATTTTTTAATCTATGATAACAGGATACCATGAAACCATGACCAATACATGCATGTTATTAACTCTCAACAGGCAATCCCAGCGGACCGGTCACAACCCTAATTTCCAGGGAAGATTACTCCCTAAGAGAGAAGTTATTATGTTGGTTGTAACTTGTGAATTTGAAAATTAACTCCTTCCTTTGGTAAACACACACTTTTGAAGGACCCAAGTAGGATTTTTTTTTCTTTTTTTGGTCCACCTTCCTATCTCTGAAAACTCCTTTCTATGTATTTAAAGATACAGAATTGGCACCTTCATCTCAAACCCACCAGACTCAATGAGGGCAACTATCGCCTTCGAGAAGCTCTCCTCTGAAACCCTTTGATTCTTCAAGTTTTCTTCCAGATAAAAAATTCATATATTTTTATAAATTTCTTTTTTTTTTTAAAGAAAGTATAGTCAGTCAGTAGACAAGAAAAGAAAATAAGCGGTACAATTACTGGAAATGGACAGGTCAAGTGAACCTATTAGCAAATACATTTCTACAAACGCATGCTGTTTTGGATGAGTTATTGATTTCAGCCTTAAACAATCTATGGGGAGTTTGCTTGTTTCATTTCTAATGCTAACACACTCATTTGTTAGAACCAGCATGTTACTTTTTAACAATACATTTGGAGGTGACTTTTGAACACGTGTCTACCAGGTCTGTGAGTGTTGGGAACATTAACTGCAGAATTCACAAACAACTACTAACGGACTTTCTCCCTCATCAAAGGAAGAGTCTCTGGTCATACAACAAACCAATTGCAGTTACTGTCATACTGCAGTCTGAAAATACAGGGATGAGATGAAAAGAAGCTGTCTACTCATCAAACCAGTCTAAGCTGTGCTAACTTTTTTTCCAGTCCTTTACAATTCTTTTTACTCACTGACATGCCCTGGCACAAAACCTAATAAAATTATTTTGGGTTCCATTTATTTATTACCCTGATTTAGGAAATACTGCAAATCAGTACTATGATAAAGACCAGAGAGAGATTTTTCTACCTCTTGCAGTTTCCACGACCTGAAGTTTGGGAAACCATGTTCTGCTGTATTGTCATGCTGACATGTGACATCTACTCTATGACTAAGATGGGTTGCTTCTGGCTATGGAATATAATTTAGCCTGCCACAAGTTTGCAGCTTGTATGAAAGGTGAAGTCTATTTCTTGAGAACTCTGTTCTCTTACACCAGGTAGTGACGTTTTCAGCGTTTCTTCGTGCGTTTGTGTGTGTGTGTGTACGTGCATATATATGCTTAAAACTGTTCTAGTTTTCATGGATGGGATCGGTTAGTTCTACTAAAATTGTCTTCACTTTGTCTTTTAAAACTACAGGTCGTCCTGAAATCGACATTTGCTTTCTTTGTTGAGTCTAAAGAAATTCACGGAAGTGTCCTGCTAGCATTCCAGAAACATGAATTGATCCTCTTCCAGCTAGTTGGTACGTTTAGCATATGTGTTAAAGAAAAATAATAGGTACATTGGACATCAAACAAACTTAATGCCTAGAATATAGGAGCCATGAAATTACCTCAAGCCAGGCAGTATTTTTCTCTTTTTACAAATGTGTTTGCTTCTTTTGCTCCTTTTTAGAATGGAGTCCACAATTGGCTGAAGAAAAGCTATGTAAATTCACAATCTCAGTGAGCAGTATTGTTCCAAAATGGAAAGGAATAGTCTCTGAGGAGGCAAACTAAATGTTGTGTGAAGAATGTATCTCTAGGGCAAATATTTCCTATTTTCAGTTTCTTACAACTCAGCTCTCTCCAAGGAAGTTTCTTAATACTTTGATTTATAGGGCGCCTGGGTGGCTCAGTTGGTTAAGCGACTGCTTTCAGCTCAGGTCATGATCCTGGAGTCCCTGGATCGAGTCCCGCATCGGGCTCCCTGCTCGGCAGGGAGCCTGCTTCTCCCTCTGACCCTCCCCCCTCTCATGTGCTCTCTCTCTCTCATTCTCTCTGTCTCAAATAAATAAATAAAAATCTTTAAAAAAAATACTTTCATTTATAATCCGAATATTTCTGACAGCATATCTGCCTGCTCTGACCTGCCGCTCGCCCCCCATCTCTGCTTACACAGGGTCATAGACAGAATGAGCAGACAAAAGGTTTCCCAAAATGCTGGACATATTACTATGAACTTTCCTGCACTGTTGAGCAAGTAGAAAACATGATTTCTCACTTAGGTATTTAGTGTTCTTATATCTCATTAATTTTTGAGCCTACTTTGGGGTCCTCAGTGTTGCTGCAAGGTGAGTTTTAATGCTGTGGCTTTTGTGCAGGATCGTAGACCCAGGACAATGTATATTTCAAGGGGTTACTCCCACCAACACCTTAAAGTGGTATAGTTGCATTAGAGCTTACCCAAGCACTGTCATGAGTGTTTTTGACATGAATTATAGCCCCAGGAAGCAGGAAAGCAAGCTATTATTACCCCCATTTTAGAGTTGATAGAAGGGAGTAGGTGAGAACCTCCATCCTGGGGTGGAATCGGAATTCAAAGCTAAGCTTTCATTGCAGGGCTAGGATGCTTTCCAGTACCCAATACCCTCTGTTCTGATGACAGATACCTTGCTTGATACAAACCAAAAAGCATTAAATCATAGACTGAAATACAACTAATTTTTATAGCCAAAACCTCTCCATGTGTAAACTCAATATTTTTTCAGACGATTTTCCTGAAATTCTTACTCTGGGAAAAAGCCATGAGTATGCCAAAGGCAATGTGTGATTGCTTATTTCCAGTACCTCTTCAAAAGTGTCTTGCCCATCACTGTACCTAGTTATAGTCCCTGAAAGCTAAACTTGACAAAATTCATACAAGACTACATGATAAAGAATACCCTCAAGCCTATATATTAAAAATCTCTATTCAGATGCCTATAAATATTAAATCTGTATTCATAAATCAGAATACTTATTTATTCATTAAATTTGTCTTTAAGTACTCAATAAGTCTTATTTGGTACCCTCCATATTTCTGTGTGGAAGTTTCTGGGGTATGTGAAGTATAAATACACTGAGAGCAGAGGTACAGCATCACCTCTAGTATGGCCAGAAGAGAAACTTAAAAATTGTATTCAATGGTGATTAGTGTCAAAGGTTATATATAGTTGTAAAGGTATAAGTTGGTTATTTTAAATTTCACCTGAGCTTTTATTTTAAAGTCCATTCTTTTTCTGAGTACAGGAAGTATCATTTGCCTTCCCTGTGAATTGATGAAACCAAATGCAGTAAACTTACTTCTAAGACTTCTGAAGAGCCACGGACTGTTGTATGTTATACTACCCCAATGATGGATTTGGTGGGTGAAAGAAGAAATATGTGAAAACATTTCTTCTAGTTTAGGTTGCCAGAACTGGAAGCAAAATAGAGAATGTATAGTACTATTGGTGGTCCACACAAAAAATAAATCCATTCTTCCTCATGCTCTGCCTCAAAAACCCAAGAAAGCAACATTTATTTTTCAAACCAGAGGAATCTGTTGACTAGGAATTCTCAGGCAAGAAACAATATATGAGAGATGAGGTCACTAGCCCATTCAGAAGAAAACAAAGGTGATAAAAATTAAATAGGAATTACATTCTCGTTAGTGATTGTGGAATCTTGATTTTTAAAAATGATTATATGGATTTGTTCATTCTCTTACATCTTACAATATTAAAATATAAAGCAACAAGATAGCAAATGCAAAAATAAATATCAATGAAAATTAAGAACAGCAAATAGAGAAAAACAACTGTTACGTTTCTTAAGAGTTTTTATGAAGTAACAACAAAAGAACTTCTAAGCTTAAGAAATGTAACGCTAACGAACCACAGTCTATCAAGCAACAATATCTGTAAAACCTCTTTTAAACCACATCAGGGTGGACAGTAATAGAGAGAGAGAATTTTTAATGTGGCCTGAAGATCCTGAATAGGAGCCTTGATTGGGATATGTCAGACAGGATGTTGCTGACCAGGAAGAGTATGTGTGAGTCCTGGTACATGGATGTGGTTGATATAAATTTGTGGTGATTCGTTCCACAGTGATAGATATTAATACATTGCCATTTGGTAGTTATAGGCATTAGAACATTTATATCTATGTAGAAGATGATGATCCAAATAATATCCAAATGCCTCCAGGTTCTAGTCTGTGGGAGAGAGAGCAGTCACATAGGTATTAGTTGAATGATGTGGGGTTTTGTTTTTGTTTTTAGGAATTTCGTGAGGTTTGGGTTATAAGAAATTCTATCCCACTGCCCAGGAGACAGAGGACAACACAGACCTGGGCTGTAACATAGAAACACCTCGTCCTGCCTGTGGCCCTCTGTAG